TCTCTCTCTCTCTCTCTCTCTCTCTCTCTCTATCTCTCTCTCTCTCTCTCTCTCTTAGAGGTAATGTCGTAGACATTTCTGCTACCATAGAAATTGCAATAGTAGAATTAATACTTATAATATCTAATATTTATCTATCTAATATCTATAATTTAATATAACAATAGAGTAGTTTTCTCTGAGGTGTAAAAAGCGGATCAATTGAAGGCAATGTCAAGTATGATCTATATATGTATATATTATTGATCAACATATCTATGTTTTCTAAGCTCACAATGCTGTCTACATCCCCGTAATAACTGCCTACTATATCGATCCATTAGCTCGATTGTCTGTTGGTAGAGCTAGGCATTTTATCTAAATCCCAATCGGATTACTAGATCATAGATAGGTCGTAAGCTCGTCTTCTGCCTTGGCTATCTTTAGATCTTTGCAGCTAGTTTGAAGCCTGTTAAGTTGCGAATCTCTTTCACTTTACACACAGATGCCGCTGATCGATAATTATCGAAATTGCAAATTGTTGTTGCTGTTGTTGTTGTTATTTGGTTTTAATAGATTTAAATGATGTGTGTGTGTGTGTGTGTGTGTGCATGTGTGCTTATGTGTTTAGCAGTTGAAAAGAAGCTTATGTTGTTGTTGTTCGTTATTGTTGTTGTTATTGCTGTTGTTGTTCGTTCGTTATTGTTGTTGTTGTTGCTCACCTGCAGTGAAAGGAAGATGATAAGCGGCAGCCAAATCTTTTTGATCCCCAGACGTTGTCGACAGCTATGGCAGCGCATTTGTTGTTGTTGTTGTTGTTGTTGCTTTAGCTGTTGCTGTTGTTGTTGCATTAAGTTATTTGGCTGCTGCTGCTGCTGCTGTTGCTGCTGTGAGTGTTGCTGTTGTTGCTGCATGTTGTTGCTAGCTGGCACGTTGTTTATTATTGTTGTTTATTATTGTTGTTGCCTGTTGTTGTTGTTGTTGTTGTTGTTGTTGTTGTCGTTGTTTGTTGTTAATGTGCATCAAATTGCAATTAATACGTTAGTTTAGCTGTCATGTGCGCGCTCTTGGCTGTTGTCGCTGTCGCTGCCTGCAATATATTGTTGTTGGAAAGCAAATGAAATGAAATGAAATGTGACAAGCAGTTAGAAATATAGAAGCAGCAACAGCAGCAGCAGCAACAGCAGCAGCAGCAGACACAGCGGCAACAGTTGCTGAAACACTAGAAAGTGTTTACTTGCTTGCTTTTCACATGTTGCTCTTGGGTGTATGTTGCTGCTGTCGGTGTGTGTGTGTGTATTGGTGTTGCTGTTGTTGTTGTTGCTAGCATCATTATTTGATTATTGGCATTTTCGCTTTCAGCTGAGGCTTTGTCTGTTAATTATCAATTTATTGCTGGAAATGCCGCCGCTTGACTGATTGACTGATTGACTGTTTGATTGACTGATTGACTGTTTGATTGACTGATTCGTTTGATTGATTTGACATTTATTCAGCGATTCACATCGATTTCTCCACCGACTACGCCACGCCCTCCCCCATCTCCCACTCTCACTGACAACAGCTACTCAGTGACCAATTGCCCAGCTGCCCAGCTGCCACGCCCTTTCAATTGTGCATTGGGCAAACGAATTGAAAAACAAAAAAGACAAAAAGACAACAATCAAAATACATTAAACAGCGACAAGTGACAGCGACAGGCTGCAAGCTGAGACACAAGAAGAAGCATCAGCAGCCGCAGCTCTTCTTCTTCTACTACATAATTTTTTTTTGTTTTTGTTTTTGTCTTTCGTTTTAATGACAACTTATTCACCTGGTCAGGTGGCTTGCTGGAGGTGAAATGTGTTAATAATGTGTTCCATCAGCCAAGTGGGTCAACGTCAACAGGCCCAAGACAAATACGAGTCGAGCAATTAGAAAACTCAAGACGGACAAACTGCAAAACTCGAAACTGAAGAGTCTAGAGTGAGGACTGAAGATTGAAGATGGGAGACGGAAGACTGAAGACTGCAGACTGCAGACTGAAGACAGGCTACTTTCAGTAGACCAGAAATAAGTGGCAGGCTGTCCAAGTGAAAGAGAAAGAGGGAGGAGCAGAGAGAGAGAGAGAGAGGGCGACAGAGAGAGTGGGAGAGAGAGAGAGAGAGAGAGTGAGTCTAGGGCCATAGAGATAAACATAACCATATAGCATCCAATGAAATAATCAACTTGGCTTAGAGAGAGATCTTTTTTTTGGATAAACCACTAAGTACCCTGATCATATATCATACTCATATCACATAGCTATCATGTATATCATTCAATGTTTCACCAACAGCGAAATTCTCTTCAATCTCAAAATTTGTTATCTCTTATGGCTCTATCTCAGGCAATATATGATTATTATCTTTTATCTATGTATTTCTGATGTCTCGAAATCATTCAGTGCATTTTATATGCATGTATATAAGCAAAATATTTTGGATGCTAGCATATCATGAGCTATAAGATCTAAATTGAACTGTTGTTAGATGCCTTAAGTACAATTTTGGAGAACAACATATATATAATTCCTAAGTATATATGATATAGCATATATTCATATAGTATATATACACTACATTCTAACATTATCTATAAAACAAATCATGATTTAAGATCAAACTGTTCTAAATTTAAGCGTAAATAGTTTTGGAAACAACTTGTTATGTAGGACTATCTTGTATCTGAACTAACTGAAATTTATTCTTTATAAATACGGCATTTATGAAAAACCATATATTCTAAAGTCCTTGAAATTATACATAGGCATTAAAAAAATATATATCATTGTTAAGAAATCAGTTGGGTTATCAAAACCTTTGGGCATTCAAATGATATATAACGATATGAGACTGATACATATACATATATGTACGTTTATATATGGGAAGAAGAAGAAAAAAAGAATTAAAAGCCGTTGTGAATTTTCGCTTTTAAAAAGTTACATAAATATGTATTCAAATCGCATTATAGATAAGATCCCATATATTATTCTGTTGATTTGAAAGATTTCGACAATATTTCGCTTATGATTATGAAACATTTTGAGCTTGGCACGTGATATAATGGGATTTACAGCATTCTGGTAACTAAACGTAGCAATTAGGGCATTAAGAAAATTAGTTAGATCAAAAAGGTAAAGAAGAAGCAATCATTTGATGCCTATAAAGACATCAATATCAAATCTATATACTCAATAGTCCTGTAGTCCCGTAAATCCTGTGTGCCATAATTTATATTTTCATATAAATATCTCTAGTCAATCACGATCTAACATATAATTTTTCAGCTAGAACATGTTTCCTCTTATTGATTGATGATTGATAAAAATGATTGTTAGCTTGTTTGCTAAATTCATTGATAGATTGATGAATTGAATGACTGATTGATTGCTATACGCTAGTATCAAGACATTATCCTAACCAGGACTAGCTGCATGCTTGGTGGGCATTAAAATGGAGTGCGGGTGCAGTTGATCAATCAACGTCAATCTCTGACAACTTCAATCAACCATCGAAACTTTAGCGCTTCAATTTTGATACAGCTTAAACGAACGTTCAAAGGACAAGAGAGCATGACACGAAGTGATCAATGCTGAGTGAGTTCATCAATCAAATTGATTGAGCCTACAAATTTCTGACTGAAGCTCAGCTGTATAGCAACAAGTGTTTAAGTGTGTGTGTGTGTGTGTGTGTGTGTGTTTGAGTGTGTGTTTGAGTGTGTGTGTGTGTGTGTGCACAACCCTTACCTACGCCTTGGACCAATTCCAAGAGCTGAGCAATTCCAATTTTGATGCAATGCCGAACAACAGGATGTGCTCGATGCGACTTTCGAAAGCAGTTGCTGTTGCTGCTGTTGCTGTTGCTGCTGTTGCTATTGTTGCAGTTGCTGTTGTTGTTGCTGTGGCTGCTGCTGCTGCTGGCAGTTGCAGTTGCACTTATTGTTGTTGTCAATGCCGCAAATTGCCTCAAATTGAAGCACTTATTGTTGCTGTTGTTGCTGTTGTTGTTGCAGTTCGACTAGCACGCGGACAATCAACAACTGTTGCAGGCGCGCGAAACACACAATTCAAACAAAAAAAAAGTCTAACAAAAAGAGTCAACAGAAAAAAAAAAAGTGTGGAAATTATTTAACAAACAAAACAAAAACAAGGATACGCGCGCTTTGGCACACACACGCACAAACACACACACACATACACAGAGGAGCACAGGAGTGTTGTTGTTGCTGCTTCTTTTTGTTTGTTTGAAAAAAAAAAAAAATGTTGCACTTGGCCAAAACAAATACAAATTTATTGTTGTTGGCTTTCGTTTTGTTTTTCGTATTTTTGTTGTTGTTTATTTTTTTTCAATAACAATTTGTGTGTTTTTTTTTTAATTTCTTGTTGTTTTTTTTTTTTCAGTTTAGTGAATATTGGCTGTGTCTGCTGCAGCGGTTGGCGGCAAGCGTTGTGGTTGAAAACGCGTCTGGTTCGCGCCGTGGTTAAGCGCCGAATGCTGCATCCACCTGCTTTCTCGCAGCGAAACACTTCGCATGCGCAACGGCGACGACAACCACGAGCCAAGCAGCGCAGCGAGCAGCGAGCTGTTGCTGTTGTTGTTGTTGTTGCTGTTGTAGTCGTTGCTGCTGCCGTTGTAGGTATTGCTGTAGGTATTGATGTTGCTGCTGCTGCTATTGTTGTTGCTGCTGCTGTTGCTGCTGCTGCTGCTGCTGTTGCTGCTGCCGTTGTTGATGGCGAAATTTCTTCTTTTCATTGATAGACAGCAGCAAAAAGTCAGATACTGAGACACGAATACAAATACGGTGTTGCGGTATCGGTATCGGTATCGCTATCGGTATCGGCTTAGCCGGCTGTTGCAGCAATTGTTGCTGCTGCTGCTGCTGCTGCTGCGGCTGCTGCTGCTGTTGCTCGTGGCATGCGTTTGTTGTCAGCGCTGATCGGTTTCCCCATTCGTCTGTTTGTTTATACCGGGCAGACGGGGCAACTTTCAGTTGCAGACGCATCGCACTGGACAAGTCCTAAAAAACTGTTTGCACTTTCTATGCACCGCACCAGCAGCCGCACCACCAACATCACACACAATTGCCGTTGCCGTTGCAGTTGCAATTGCAGATGCTTGTGGGCGCACCAAACGCCCTTCTGGGTGGCTATTGGTCAGTTGTTGTTGTTGTTGTTGTTTTTTTTGTTATCCATTGCTCCGATTGTTACTACTGTTGCTGTTGCTGTTGCTTGGGCGGCACCGCTGACTGCCCTAATAGCAGCAACATTATCTGCTGCTGCTGCTGCTGTTGGTTTTTTTGTTAGTTATGCTGCTGAAATGCTTAATCGATTGTTCCACTTTTCCGTGAAATATTTGCGCATTTGATTTACTTTGGCTCTGTGCACTTCACCAGCCTCAATTGCCGTCGTCCAGTCTTCACTGTACTTGCTCCGCTTGCGTATGAATCGATGTGTCGCACAGTGGTGCCACATGAAGTGAGCGGCACCAGAAACTGATGTGAAATAATTGATTGATTGATTGATAGTCGTGCTTGCTAAGTAACTGATGGGTATATCTGGGCTCTGATTGATCGTGATTGATTGATGACGTTTTCAATGAACGTATGTACAACGAACTATTTGATTGACTCAGTCAATGATGTAGTGGATTGGATTGACCAACTGACTGAGTGCGGCAATCCGAGATTGATTGACCGATTGAGTTACGTAACTGATTTGGCTATTGATTGACCGATTGACTTGTTAGCTGAATGCTTTACCAATAAACTGTCGAATTTGTGTGATTGACCGACAAATCGATTAATTGATTGGTTAGTTGATTGACCACTTGATTGATGGACTAGGGGAATGACGAAATAAATGTGTCAATCATTTGATTTCATGTTGATTGATGATAATTTGATTGATTGATGGACAGTACGGCTTATACAACAATTGATTGATGATGTGACTGATAAATTGCTTGATTGACTGACTGATTGAGTGGATTATTGATTGACTGATTGATGGACAGGACGAAATGATTTGATTGACTGACTGGCAATTGACAAACTGATTGAATGATCGAATGATTGATTGACTGACTGATTGATCATCTGAATGGTAGACTAATTGAATGAATAATAATCTAATCTAATTACTCATAAATAGTCTTTATCAATTGCTAGTGTAATTATTCATTGATTGATTGATCAAGGCATAGTTCAATCAAGAACATATTAAGCACCTTTTGTATTTTTATATATTTAGCTAAATACAATATTGAGACACTGTAGATGGAAGTAATATTGAAGACAAGTCTGATGAAAATTGTGATAAAATCTATGAGTTTTGTAATAGACAGATTTTGGAACAAATTACACTTTTATTTACTTAATGTAATTCAAAAACCTTTAGCATAGATCATAATATGGGCAGAGCTAGTCGCGGCTGTAAACCCGGACCCGCATCAATTGAAGCGTTGCGGAGCTTAGCTACTGAGGATGACCAGATTCATTATGCCTATGTATGTGTGTGTGTGTGAGTGTGACATGTGTGTGTTTATGTGTCTTCATGTGCGCTGCCTGAATCAGTGTTCAGCAGCGATTTCATCGCCATTTCAAGCCAAGCTGGCAGCTTCTTCTCCGCCTCCTGCTCCACAGCTGCCGGAGCTCATCGCCGATTCGATTCCTGTTTGCTAAATATGACCAAAAAATACTTGTCTCGAAATTGGAGTAATTTCATCGCAACCTGCTGGCCAACTGGCCAACTGGGGAGGTGGGACAGACAGACAGGCGGACAGACAGTGTTCGAGCTCGGACTGGCAGTTCGGTTCCGCCTGGAATTGGCAATTGGAGCCAGTCGCCACTCGCCGCTGCTGCTGCTGCTGCTGCTGCTGCTGCTGGGGCTGCTGTGGCTGGGGCTGGGGCTGGGGCATTGGCGACGTCCTCTTCGTCTATTGAGGCACATTAAGTAACACGCGGACGCGTCTGCCGCCTGGCTTCGAGTCGCGCCACAAAGTCTGCCAAATGTTGGACGCTCAATTATTTTGCTAGTTTTGCATGTCCAAGAGAGCCAACAGCCAACAGCCAACAGCCAACAGCCAACAGCCTAAAGATAAAGCTAAAGCAGAAGCAGAAGCCAACGTGCTTGCGCTCGTCTCATCATCGAAGGGGCAGCAGCCGCTGCAGTCGAGCGACAGAGCGCCAAAGGGCCTCAGAGTCTCGGTCAGCTTCGTTGCTGGGCGCACGCCGTACGCATCTTAACTAAATGCCCTCTCTCTCTACAACACCACCCCCCCCCCTCTCTCTCTCTCTCTCTCTCTCTCTTTTCGGCCCCCCTTGCTGTGGCACTCTGCTCAGATGTCTTATTAAAAGTATCTTGTTACTTTCACCAGCCGCCGACTTGAATTGCGCTTCAATTTCACACACACTCAGTTGGCGAGAAAGAGACAGCAAGCACTTGGAGCGCTGTTGTCGGCCAGTTGACACTGACCAAATTTGGTAGCATGCCACATGCCGTACGCCGTAAGCCGTATGCCGTATGCCGATAGCTGAGAGCCGATAGGCCATAAACGATAGACGATAAACGATAGACGATACCTGATAGACGGTGGCTAATGGTCTATAGTCGATAGCTGATGGCCAATAGACGATATAGTCGATAGTTGCTAGACGATCGCCGATAGTCGATAGACGATTGCTGATAACCGATAGACGATAACTAATAACCGATAGACGATTGCTGATAGCCGATAGAAGATTGCTGATAGCCGATAGACGATAGCTGATAGCCGATAGACGATAGCTGATAACCGATAGACGATTGCTGATAGCCGATAGACGATAACTAATAACCGATAGACGATTGCTGATAGCCGATAGACGATTGCTGATAACCGATAGACGATTGCTGATAGCCGATAGATGATAGCCAATGGCCGATAGCCCAAAGCTGATAGCATCTTGCTATCACAGCAATACATCTAGATATTAACAAAGGACGGACGGAGTGTCAGGCGGATGGATTGACAGTCAAAAGTATTGACAGACGGACGGACAGGCAGACGGAGTAACTGTTGAGCCCAAAGTCGTTGCTCGGACTGAGTAACACGGTCTGAGAGTCGAATTCATACAGACGGAAAGATAAATAGGCCGATCGACAAATAGTCTGAGTGAAAGAGGAGGCAGATCGATAGGCAGACCGATAGGCAGATCGATAGGCAGACATAGACAGATAAGCGAGCGGACAAACGATAGACAAGCAGACGGAAATATACGCCTCAAACGGATTCAGTGTTGATTCCGATACAAATGCAGATATACACCTTATAGCAGCCGCCACGCCCCCTTCCGTCTGTTACATAAAGTCTAACATAGCCGCCGTACCCCAAAATAGAGTGTATCTGAAAACGAAAACGAAAAGCAAAAACTCTGTTGGAATACAATGATAAACGTGATGTTCATATTTTGTATTTTAGTTTTTCGGAGATTTATGCAGTTGGTCAGGGCGTCGGTTCGGGTGGAAACATTTGCATAGCTCACAGAGAGAGAGAGAGAGAGAGACACTTTTCGTATGTAGCCTCCCCCTCTACGCCCACCGATTGCAGCTGCTGCTGCTGCTGCTGCTGCTGCTGTGGCCCTGTGGTAAAGCCGTTGATGAGGCGATGAGCGCCCAGTTAAATCCTCTTTGCCACGCCAGGTTTCTAGCCAGCTATTTGGGTCGCTCTCACAATTTATTAGTTTAGTTTTCATTGCATTGACACTTCATCATCGAGTGGCTGTCGTTTGTCATCTGCCGCAAAACAGTTGCATGCGGTTGTTGTTGTTGCTGTTGTCGTTGTTTGTCGTTGTTTGTTGTTGTTTGTAGCTGCAAATAACCTTTTGGGCTGGCTGCAATCGGTCGCATGTGTCCATTATTGCCAGGTTACAAGGTGGCAACTGCGACTGCAACTGCAACTGCAGCCAAAGTGAAAACGACACAAAACAAGCAACAACAAATAACAACAAACAACAACAACAACAACAACGACAAAAAAAAGCCAAGAAACAGTAGCAACGGCTGCCATTAAGCAATGAGAAGACACTTATATATTTT